CCTCACCGCAACGAGGAGGCGGCGTCGGGCGCGCGGCCTACCGGTCCGTCCTCAAATGGCGTCCCCGCGGGAACGAGAAGGTGCCACACACGTTCCGGAAGCCGGCGTGACGTCACTCGCCCCGCCCTCAGCGGCCCGCCTCCCTGACGTCAAAAGAGTCCTCTGTGGCGTATGCCCGTTGCGTCATCCGTGCCAGGACGAGGAAGCGGGCGATGCGGCTGCCCGCTAGTTGCAGGGCGCCCCAGAGCCACTGAGACTTCCCTGGGACGGGCCTGAAAAGGCCTGGCCTGGCCTGCCCGCCGGGCTTCTTGGCAGGCTGATCCCAGCGCTGGCGAAGCTCTGGGGGTGGGATTCCCTGAGTCCCCCCGTGGTTCTGCGCTGGGACCTTCTGGGCCCTGACATTATGGAAAGCTTTCCCATGGAAGGGCTGTCTCAACTGTTGGGCCCTTCAGATACTCCTCGATGGGAATTGACAACAATTTGTCAATAATTGCAGTGTTCCTCAGCCTTGGCAACTTCAAGACGGTGGTCTTCAGCTCCCAGAATCCCCCAGCCAGCAGGCCTTAAGATGCGTGGGCTTCAGCTCCCAGAATCCCCAGCCAGCAGGCCTTAAGATGGGGGGACTTCAGCTCCCAGAATCCCCAGCCAGCAGGCTTTAAGATGGGGGGACTTCAGCTCCCAGGATTCTGAGAGTTGAAGTCCATGCATCTTAAAGTTGCCAAGGTTGAGAAACGCTGATGTATAGCAATAAGCACGCCATAGAAATATATTGAAAAGCCAGCTCTGGCTCTCAAGCGCAGTTGGAAGCCCTGTCTTCCTCTTTTCCTGACTGTTGATCCACCTCTTTCTGGTTGAAGGGGTTTATCCAGACCATTTGCTAGACAGTCTTGCAAAAATCTTCCCCTGCCCCCTTTCTTCTTCCATCTCCGTGTTCGTATTCCAGCTTTCATTTCAACAAGGCCCTTGTCAGTGTCCAGCCGCTCATGGAAGAACAGAACAGCTTGTAAACCTGACTGTGACCCAGACCCCAAAGGCTCAGAAATGGAAGCGCCAATTAAGCAGCCCCAAGAGGCTTCCAGCATAAAGAGCTGATGGTCTTTAAGTCAATGTCATGATTCCCCCCCCTCCGCCACCCTGGAGGTACACTGTCTTAATAGATTTGAGACTGCCAGACCCTTGTTATTCTTCCACACACCTGTGCAATTCTGTACACTGGTAGGCCCCTTGGCACTGAGCCTCATCTTCATGTTCGCCTTCATGACGAGAAGGCATCGTCAGAAGAACTTCCCACTTCAGGCTGGGAGGTGGCGTCTCCAAATATTCTCCTGTCCTGAAAAGCAAATCCAACAGCACAGATGACCGAGAGCTCTGGAGTACTTTCTTTTCTCCTTGATTTGTTAATTTTCTACTTGCAGGGAGATTTTTTAAAAATGGGGAGCGTTGAAAAAAGTCATCTCTCATGTCTATTCATTCTAATCCCTTAACATTCAAGCTGTGAAGTTCACCTTCCCAGGATCTTCTCTGTATGATGGGTGAGGAAGGAGAGAATAGATAGTAATGAGGCTGGCAAAGGGGCGCTTTCCAGTAACGGGGCTTCCTGTGGAGTCATACATGTCATTAAACCTCCAAAGCAGAGAGGTATACCTGGCCTCAAGTCTTAGTCTTCTAAAACCTACCTGAGGCTCTATATTTGATTTGTTTTCATTAATATAATTTCTTTTGCTTTTCCTTGTCTGTGTCGTACTGATGTTCCATCTTTCCCCTATTTTGGTTTGCAGTCCAGAAGCTGCTGGACAATTCAAAGTGGCGCCAAAGGATATGGAATTAAGTTCCATAAATGAAGAAGTTTGTGCAGGTAGGTTAATCCAGCCTGGCTTCTTTAAAACTAGGATGTATAGAGGTTGAATATGGAACCCCCTGGAATGCATATACTGTAGCTCAGTCTTTTGTTACAGAGAGTCTCTACCCTGATGAACAATATGCAGGTCAGGCAAACTAGATAGAGAGAAGACTTAGATTCACACTTTGAGATAAGCCATAATGTGGCTTGTTGGTTTGGCTGAGCATGGTGGGAGTCCAGCCATTGTTGCTTACAATGTGTGCAGTATACAACATATATCTCCAGGTTGATGGGATGCAGGCCGCTGTATTCTGGCTTGCAAGATCCTGGCTTGTATAGAACAGCCTAAGCATGCTTGGGGGAAAAATGGGCCTTGATTGCACCTGTGGTATATTGATCCAAATGTGTCCAAACTGACTGATCCTGCCCTTATCATTTGCAGGAAATGCTGCATGCAAAACGTGTGTGTGCGCGTAAATAAAGCAAGTAATTTAGTCTACATCTTCTCTAGCTTACTACAAGGCAAAACTCAATTGACCAAAGCCATGATGGGTGGTGGAATCTCCCTCCTCCCCCCCCCCGAAAGCTCATGGTGTGTGGATAAAGTATAGGAAATGACAAGGAGCATGAGCTAAGAAACGAAACGAAAAAGAGTTACATGGGGTCTCTGAGAAACTAAGAAAGGGGAAAGATGTAAGATCTGAATAAAGGTGGTCTGATCTTGTGGAGTGGCGTTGGTGAAGAGATGCTGGGAATGGAAGGTGAGGGCTTAAGGGCAGATGGAGGAAAGAGCTAAAGTGTCTGTCAGAAAGCATGAATTGGCGTCATCTAGGCCAGGGGTGGGTGCGAAAGTGGGAGTCTGTAGGTTAGCGATAGTAGCTGTTACGGTCTAGCGAATGATGATAATGGAAGAACAGGGGATGATGGGGGGGGACGACGAATGAATGAACATGATCCAAGGGAAACATAATTCTGCTAGGTGACGACTGGATGGGTAGGAATGAGGTGAGAGAATACTAAATAAATACATGAATAGGCCACAGACCCAAGAAAGAGGTTAAAATGCATGTAAGACTACGTCTGTGTCTGGTGACTGGAGGAATATCATTCTTGTTCCTTTATGCAAGGGAAGGCGTTAAATGTCTGGCAGAATTCTGATTGGGAGGAGAGAAGAGGTGACAGCAAGCAACTTTTGGGAAGCGCGTTACAGCTGGATGCAGGGAGAACCGGCGCAAGCCAGATTTATGCTCTTCAGCAGATCACTGAGAAATAGATGAATGTGAGAAAGGAAGCTTGTATGTTTGTTGTTTGGGTACCGTTGCTTGTCTCAAAAGGAATAACGTGCTACGTACTTATGGTTTATGGCTGAGCAAGGTGGGTAATACAGTATGGCTTAGCCTCTCAGATGTTCTTGTTTTTATCTAAATTGTGACCCATTTCTATATCTGGTGGGGCTAGAACTCAAGGCGCAAGCCAAGCACCGGGATCCCAGGCTGGAGCCCACGGGGTTGTGGAAATGCGCTCTGGGTCTCACAATGCAACGGATTATTTCCCACTTTCCTTGCAGACTTAATGATCTCCAAAGTGCTGTGGGCAGCAGATTGCACCTTCTGCTCCATTAAATCCCCAGGGGAATCTCCCTGGCAGCTGTTTTGGAGACACAGGCACACATGTTCCATTACGGGGACCTTCCTGTTTGGGTCACTGGCCATCGGTAAGTCAGCCAGAGAACAAAGACGGCTGCCGTCTTTCCGAAGAAGGCGGAGGCATCATCCATCTCCTCCCCCCTCCCTCATATTCTGGGAATTGGGGAGCAAAGTGCCTCTGAATGACAAACACTCAACCTTCCTCACACACCCAGGCCCTTGGATGGCGTCCGCGCCATCTTGAACATTTGCTTCTTGCCAGCAGGCTCCTCAAGAGAAGGACGTTATCAAGAGTGGGGGCTTGCAGCATCCGAGGATGACTTTCAAGGACTGTTCCCTGGATTGTACAAATCAGGGCCAAACCTACTATTTTCTCAAGGCTTTGGTTTAATATCCCCCCACAGGGGTGGCTCCAGATGTGTGGGTTTACCCCTCCCTCCATGATGGGAAATGTAACAGATCACCTGAATGAATTAAACATTATAAAACAGCAGTGTGCGTGGAATGTAGGATTTAGAAGACTGATCAATGTAAATACCACAGAGGGTGAGAATGCTACAAGAGGTACACCATCTCATGTACAAGGGAGAATCAGGTATACTGTCTAAGGGAATTCTGGGAGTTGAAGTCCACACATCTTAAAGTTGCCAAGTTTGAAAAATACTGCTTTAGAAGAATATTTTCTCACCTACACATTTCTGTACATTTAGGACACAGTCCTACATACCTCCACTTATGAATTGCAGTATCTTTTTTTCATCTTCCTTCCCCCTCTATTTCCTTTTGTGTCATATCTTTTTATATTATGCATTGGCTGACATAAACTGCCTTTTCACATTTTTATTTCTCTGCCGATTGTATGGAATCCACTTTGAGAATAATGGCTGAAGAGCACAAAAGAAATGCTTTAACTACACAAACCGACCAACCAATAAATAGGCACTGTAGTTTTATGTTTTAGCCCTTAGGACAACCAGAAGCCAGGACAACATCTTGACATCACAGAGGCTTGACCCCTGAACCTCGGACCCAACCAGACCGATCATCTCCATCCCCAGCCTGCTATGGAGACACCTCTTGAATTTGGGGGAATTCCTGCTCGCCTGGTGTGTGCTGCATGGCTTGAGGAACACCTTGACAGAGCCCTATGCTTGAGAGACTCAGGGTGGGTTTCCCAGCATCCAACATCTCCAAAAACAAGCGGTGGGTGTGCATTTGTGCCTCTGCTCCACAGTCCAGTTGGGGCATGCCGGATCAGGCTTCCCTTTCTCAGCTTGCCTGGCAACGGCTGCGGCAGCCCCAGAGGGGAGAAACTGGACCCTGTTTTCACACCCAGGGACCAGCTGTTCAGCCCATCTTTCCTTTGATTCCGCTTATCCACTGGCTCCTCTTGAACCTCATGGTCAGGAATCGATGTGGGATGTCAGACTTCTATGATTTGGTTGCCCTCATTCATCCCTGTCTGGATCTATTCATCTCTCTCTCTCTCTCTCCTACAATAGCCAGTGGGTGGAACAGCCCCTGGTCTCCCCAGGCAGAGAGGTCCAGGGTGAGAGGAGGCCACGGAGATGCCCTCTCTCTTCCCAGCAGCTCTGACCTGGCTCTGCTTCAGTTGCGAAGGGTGGCTCTAGCAGGTATCAGCAGGGAGCTGGTGGGGGCGAGGGAGGAGGAGGAGGTCCTCGAGGCAGCCCAGATCTCGGTCCTCGAGAGGACATTCCAGCCGCTTGAGTTGTGCTGGGAAACAAGCTGGTGAACAGGGCAGCCTTCCAAGAGGGTTCTGCCTCTGACGCCCTGTGGCTGCATTCTGGGTCAGCTGCAGTTTCTGGAGACTCTGGGAAGACCATTCAATTGGCCATCCTGGCTAGGAAGGCCGAGAATTGGCTTCTAACACATCTTTAGGGTGCCACGTTTCGGACAGAAGCAATGGGCGCATGGCTGCTCATGGGGCTCCCGTGGAAAGCAGCAGCAGCAGCAGCCCTTGGAGATCCGCAGCGGGCTCCGTACCTGGAAGGACAGCCCCGCATCCGGCAGAGGGCAGTGACGTGAAATGCAAACTCCAAAGCCTGGGCTCTCATTTGCAGGGGCCGGAACAAACTCGGATCGACCGAGCAGACGATGGTGGTTTCCAAGGGCTGCTGCTGCTGCTGAACTTGGCTTTGCTTGCTTTGTTTGGTGTGGCTTGCTAACTGCTCTTCCACACTAAAAGTTCCACCCAGCTGTGCCAGGACAGCCTCAGGGCTTCCCTGCTTGTTCAGCCCTTCTGCTTAATTTTTGGGGGACCCATTTGCCATCCTTAGCTAAGTCTTCTCTCTCACTTTCTTGAATATAAAAGGCTTGCTGACTTCCTATCACTCTTGTCCTCCATCAGAATGTTTCTGTGTGTGTGGTGTGTGTGTGTGTGCAAGCGTGCATGTGTGTCAGAATGATGGAGGTGTTCTATTATTTTTCCAGCGCACTGTGGCCATCCCATCTCGCTATGTCTCCACGTAGCTTGCCTTTCTGCCACAATTATCCTTATTATGCATATACGCAGCACTGCAAAGGGAAAATCATCCCAGAGGCAAAAAAACTCGGCACTGACAGTAACGCATTTGTCAGATGAGAGACAAAACATTTCAGCCAGGAGCCGGGTCTTCCAGGAAATCAGGAAATGCTGGGCCGCCCTGCTGCTGTGCGGAATCTGTGGCACCGCTGACCAGCAGCCCCTCACCCTGCCTTCACCCGCTCTGGCACTTGGGCTCAGCTGGCAGGGACTCCATCCTTTGCTCATAGCAGGACAAATCGTTTGGAAGACAGGAGAGGATGGAGGCAGGACTTGGGAGCGAACGCCTTCGCTCGCCTCTGCCCAGCGCAGCAGAGACACAGCCAGGAAGAACAGAGTAGGGAAAAGTCACTCAGAGGCTGTTTATTCTGACCCTGCAACAACTCACTATGGGCAGGTGTGTTTAATTGCCAAGACATGGAAAAGAGTACCTCTGAGCATACGTGCCCGTCAGCCCTATGGTGACCACCACTTTGCTGTACAGGCTGGGATTGGATAGCTCAGGGTCAGCTGCCTTCTTCTGCTGTTAAAAGAGGGTGAGGTCTTGTGGTGACCGCTCCATCTGTTACCTTTATTAGCCGGGAATGTCTGCTGGAAGGGTGCAAGCTGCATTTGCGAATCAATCCCTTCCTTCCTTCCTTCCTTCCTTCCTTCCTTCCTTCCTTCCTTCCTTCC